AGGAATTCAACAATTTAGAATTTCCCATTGAGTTTCCTATGGACCGTTTGACGATTCACCACCCTGTATATACATATTTATATATATATATATATATATTTATATATATATATATTTATATATATATATATATATATATATATATATATATATATATATATATATTTATATATATGTATATATATATATATATATATATATTATATATATATATATATATATATATATATATATATATATATAATTATATATAATCAATAACCCTTCTACCCTAAGGTGTTGGGTAATAAGAGGGTAAAAAATTTCAGAAAAATTTGAATGCGTTATAACTTGAACATAAAGTAACCAGCATGTGCCAATAACGCACAAATTCGAAAAGTAATCTCAATTAGGAAAAAAAATCCAACCTTGCTGTTTCGACAGACATTATCTCTGAATCTGTTTTCTTGTCGCATGTTTAAAAATATAATTTTGAAGTTTCGATTTGCTATTCGGAGATCGTTTAAATCGTTTTAAAAAATTCTAAAATAAAATTTTGAATGATCTTAACCTGGAAATACAAATATTAAATCAAACGTACATTGTAATTTACATTACAATTTACAATCAATAATTATGGTTTATTTCCATATAAAATAATATTTGGACAATATCTCCTATGATAATGTCGGCGAAGACACAGGACGTTTCATCAGGACAGATTTCCAATAATGGAACTTTTTAGTTCTGCCTTTATTACGTATCCTTACGTTTGTTTTTGATGAAAATCATTATATTCGTAATGTTTTCCGATCTAATTAGCATTATAGTAGCATTGTTTCTAAAGTCTAAAATGGTGTACCTATAAAATACTTCTCAATGCATTAACTAAATATTACATTTGTTTGCTTTAATGCCATATATTACGTGCCTTATTTATCATTGCTCTATTATAGTGACTAATATTTCCGCATTCCTGAGTTAGCTATTATTAATAATGTGGGTGCATCCTTATCTCAAAGTTTTATATTGTAAGCAAGAATTGATTATTATATATTTTACCATAGGGGAGAGTAGTACACAGTTAAACAAAAAAAAAAGATTTTGATTCAAAAAAATTATTTTTGAATTAAAAGGAAAATTTTCAAAGCAATATGTTAATGCTTTGAAAATCTCTGAATCTTGAACTCTTTCTTAACATTCTAAGAACAAAATTAGCTAAAAATTCACATAATGAAAAAAATAAAAAATGCCGAAAATTGTTTCACTGTGTACCACAATTGGTACACAGTGAAACAGATTACATCTAGTTTCTTAACCCTTTCAGACCTGACTTTTTCTCTGTAGAAAAAAATATTTTTCTATTGAATCTTCTCAATGGAGGATTGTAATAGGATAAAATCATATTTTTGACATTTTTGTTTAACAGGTAGTCGTTTGACAGAATGTCCATTGGGACTAATACGAATTTAGGAAAATAATCACAAACGATATTTTAATTAAATAGAGTATATTTGTATCAAGCAAATGTTGAGTAAATTTAAATAAAAATATTTCAAACAATTTTTGTTCTTTACAAAACATAAATGTACATTATATTTTTCACAAAAAACATGCGTTTTCCCTTTACACCCAACATTTTTGCATCTGGATGCTTCCTTTTTGTTGTCATACTCGGGTAAAGGATCTATTTTATCCATCCTTATTTCCTTCACTGGTCTAATTTCCACTCTGGGTCTTTTTGGAGTGTGGGAAGAATTCTCATTTGACATTTTGGGATGACCAATGCTTCTTTTTATTGGTTTCCCCACTTTAATTGTTTAATTAGCACCGCAGCAATTTGTATTTTAAAATCTATCAAATCCATTTGATCTTTGTAAGGTAAACTAAGATGCTTCCTTTTATATTCTAGCCAACTATTGGCATAAGCAAAATCAAAGGCATAGAAGATTAAACGCGGTCTCTGAATCGTTATTTTTTTCTTTTGCTGCTTATCCCATCTTTTTACTAAGTCTTCTTTTCCTTTTTGAACAAAATTCGAACCTACAAGCACGGACTTATTATCTACATATTTATCTACAATATTTTTTACCTGCATTAGATAATTCATGAGAAGAGAATTTATCGCCCATAGACAAAACATGAATGTCCGCATCAATTTCTTCATTACAGACATCTTTTATGTCTGATCGATCTTCAATTTGAGATAAAACATTATTAGCTTTGAAATTAATCGTCATCATCTAAAAAGATCATAGAATTATCCTGATTAAAACCTAAAACAATAATATCAATATAGACTTGCAGTCCATTGCAATGGACATCATATTTTAATGTTTATTATCAACAAAAAACAACAATAAATCATCTATGTCGAATAAGCAGTATAAACATTAATATGTAATTATTATATAAAATAATATTTGGTTACATATAATAGATTTAAGACTTGAAGAAACGTGATATTTACTTACGCTTTCCGCGATATCGTGAATTCGCCATGTGACACTATCTTTAATGGCATTTAACTCGGCCATTATTCAAACTTAACTGAAAATTTTTTTGACTATGTAGTAGTAATTGAGATATGCATAATAAAAAATATCTAGTTGTCAACAATTTGCAGGAGTTTAATTTTGTTGTAGGCCTTACGTAAATGTATGTCCATTGCAATGGACACCGGGTCTGAAAGGGTTAAGAAAATGTTTTGACCACGTGAAGCCCTTGTCGAACATCTAACGATCCAAAGTCAATATTAAATTTGTAATAACCTGCCAAGCATTCATTTTTCATGGAAACGGGTTGACGTAAAACCATTTTCTCACATTTTCGTAAATGTAGACCTTTAACATTGGTAAGTAACTTTCCAACATAGTGAACCTTTGGTGGTGAACATAGTTGGCGATCATTCTGGCTATGATGACTTTCTTGGTTGCTGTACGAAATAGCTGTGTTGAGTTCTTTCTATACCATGCTCTCAACAAGCCAGGTTCTTCTTCTTCGTCCTGGGGCCCTTTTTCCTTCAATTTTACATTGCAAAACGCATTGGAGTAGCTCATATCTGCCTTGATTTCTCATTATATGTCCCAAGGGCTTACGGCCCTTCACGATGTTGTTAAAACCGCGGTTGTGTCCATCCTCCGCAGTACTTCTTCATTGGTGATTTTGTCTGTTCATGGTACCTTCAGGATCCTTCCGTATAACCATAACTCAAAAGCCTGAAGTTTTGATGAGTTTCCGCCTTCAATGACCACGTTTCTACTTCATACAGAAGCACTGAGTACACGTAACATTTAAGAAGTCGTATTTTTGTTTCTAGGATAACGTCATGGCTCTTGAACACAGAGCTCATAATCAAGAATGCACTTTTGCCTTTCCGATGTGACATTTAATCTCTTGGGTATTGTCCCACGATTCATCGATTATAGTTCCTAAGTAGTTGTACTGTGAGACACGTAGGAGACAGGAAAACGTACCAATACGAAATCATCCTTTTCACTTCGAAAATAATGAGGTTGTTAATCAGGTTGTTCAGGAATCCAATTATCATCATCATCTGAGGAGTCGGCTAGTTGGATATCACTTTCTTCGCTGGAGTCAGACTCTATTTTTTACCGTTTAATTAATTTGGTTGTTGTAGGGAATTCCTTTAATCGTTCTCTTTAATCTTTTTGCTAATTAGTGCTTTCCCTTTTCCTCTTTCTTTCTCTATTAACGTATCTTTCTCGTGTGTGTGTCAGTAATAATTGAGATTTTACCTCGCTTTCTAGGTTTCCTGTTAGCTTTACGGGGTGGTACTTTTGGATACCCTCTGAATTTTTCTGCACTAGCAAATATGGGAAGTTTATTATCCATAATTGTTTCTAGCTGAAATTCTATATTACGTGGTCCAGGTTCACTTTTTTCTGGAGTAATCCGTTCTGAAGTTGTACACTAGATGGCATAGCACGCTCAGTATCTGGTGTAGTCTCTTTACGAAATTGTAAGGTGACAGGCCCAGGTAATTCATAATCCAGGACATCTTCCCGTTGTAGCCCGTCAGATATTGCTGAAGTGAAAAAGTCGGTGTCATCAAAGATTAGAGAATTAAATGGATAAATTCGACTTTTCTGGAATAATCATTATATTGGAAGGATTTAAGGATTTTGCATGAGCTTTTCCAACACGTTCGGCTATTTGGTAAATAGTCATGGGAATTCCAGGATATCGTAGATGCCAATAAGCAATACCAGCATTGTAATGTGTTTTGAATGGTCCAAAGACCGATATATCTAAGTGCTGCATTTTGTGACTACAGTGTGGTAGGGTCAAAATAGTCATACCTACAGCCTGAGCTTTTTCAAAAACGACAAGTGATATATGACTTTCATGATTATCGTTATATTAGAAGGTAGAGGTAGTCCATTCTTTTTTATAGGAACTTGATCTTTAAAACTATTTGCGTTTTCTTTTATAAATTCCACTGGTTAAGGCTCTATCCCAAACTACTAATATTGCATTTAAAATTTAACTAAACCCCACAACAGAAAATACCAAATTGTGAATCGAAACGCTCCGGTCTCCTTGCGTAATGCACAAATCCTCACTCTTTTAAATAGGCGAATCGCTGGTCTCATGGATTTTAAGATCTCTCTTTCTAACTACAGGGTTACTGTCTACTTTCTGGGTTCAATTTGAATTCCGTACTTGGTACGTGAACCCAGCGCCGTAGTGAAAATAAATATCAATAATAAATAAAGTTATATTTTAATGATATGTATTATAATATTTATGAGATTAAAAAATAATATTTTAATGATACTATAATTATTTATGAGATTTAAAAAAAACTGTATTTGAATGAAATTTTATTGAGTGATCACTGCACAAGTGAACCAATGGAGAAACCGCCCCTTGACACCATAAATTTCGTTTTCTTCATGTACAGACTATAATGAGTTTTATTGTAATAAGTTGATAGAATATAAGTGATATAATTTAACATCTAAGTGTTTTTTAAATGTTATTTTCAAATATTTTAGGTTAAATTGTCCGTACAAGCTATCATTGATTTACCTTCAGCAAATAAACTTGCTGAGCTGCAAGCTCTCAGTGGGACCTGGGATGGTGAAGTTCGAGAAATATCCAGACATGCATTAGATCTCAAACAACTCGATAATGGAAAGAAAATTCCTCCGACTGGATGGAAATGCGAAAAATGTGATAAGACTGACAATTTGTGGTTAAATCTCTCTGATGGAAGTATTCTGTGCGGTAGAAAGTTCTACGACGGTACAGGAGGAAACAATCACGCTGTGGAGCATTATAGCTTGACTAATTATCCATTGGCTGTAAAATTAGGAACAATTACCAAAGATGGTAAAGCTGATGTTTTCAGCTATAGTGAAGATGATATGGTGGAAGATCCCAATTTAATTCAGCATTTAGCTCATTGGGGTAAGCAATACTGCTATCTACAGTCATGAACTAGTTTGTGGAGTTTTCTTTTGAATACTCCTTAATTTTATTGGTTGTTTAAAAGTCGGTACTTCCAGTAAAAATCAATAAATGCTAATAATTTTCAACAATTGAGGGGTTTGGCAGTAAAAAATCGTAAGGGCAATAAAGAAGTTTTGAGTTTTGAAGTGTTGAATTTAAAAAAAAAATACTCATATTTTTTATCAAAAACATATAAGATTATAAAACCTGTAAATTAGCCTATTATGTTGCTAATGAGGAGTTTAAGGGAGGCCTATGTCCAGCAGTGGACGTGATAAATGAGGGCTGGATGATGATGAATAAGTCGGCACAATATAGAAATCCAATTTTTTTTTACGTTTAACTTAACTTAACGACTTAACATAACTTCGTAGGTGCTACGAGTTTATTTTAAATTTATATACCATTCGTTGTATAAACAGCTGGAATCCATTCCAAAAATGATATTACATCTTTCAGTCTTTCTGGGTATTATAGTTTTGAGTAAGTGTAGAAATTTTTTTTCTGCAGCTGTTGATCTTCCTCTTTTATTCGACGACATGAAATTAAATATCCCGCTGTATGATCCTGAATATTTTATATTTTTGGGAACTTTTAAAGAAAGGCATAATTTCACACTATTTTGTAAAATACTTTCTAATTCATCTAATGGCGCTAAAACTCTTTGTGGGTCTTGACCTGCTTAACAATGTTCTTCCATTCTGCCCTGTCGGATACTTTCCTTCGCCACTGCCTGATATTTGCTCTCTTTATTAATTCATCCAACTCATAGCTCCATTTTCTTCTGTGTTTGAAAGGGTCCACGTTTCACATCCATATGTTACCACTAGTCTAATTACTGTTTTGTAGATTCTAAGCTTAGACTCACGATTCAGTAACTTACTTTTCTTTGTGTGCACAAAAGCACTTACCACCGCTAAGAATCCGTGTCTGTATTTCCTGACTGACGTTATTGCTGTCATTTATTATTGAGCCTAGGTAGGGAAAGGTGGAGGCATATTCTTAGGTATGGTTGTCTACCTTCAGATTTGTAAAATCTAAAAAACCTGTAAAACCTGTTGATTAAAATAACTTTTGAGTACTGAAATATCGTATATATCCCCTTGCTGGACCCTAGTTAAAAGAAAAGGGTTCTTCTTCTGACACTTCTACAAAATCTCTCTCTCTCTCTCTTCAATCCTGACCCCCCAGGGGAGTGTAGTGGTCGACGTGATGTCGTGTATTGTCCGTCTCCAGAGATCTCTGTCTCTGGTCATTTCTTTTAATTCATGCATAGGTCTTTGGCATATTCTTGTAATTTGATCTGTCCATCTTGTTGGGGATCTTCCTCGTGATCTTCTGACCTTCTACAAAATATCTTCCCACTAATAGAACGAATAGGCCATTTCAGTTTTTCTTGACATAATTTTAGACAACAAAAAAGTCTCTGTTGCTTGGCAACATTGTGTGTCCTACCTGAGGAAATATGTGAACTATTTCTTTAAAATATTCATTTTATAAAAGGTAAAGCCAAAGACCAATGATGGTTCAGTTTTTATTTTGTCCGCAGCAATTGTCTGAAATGGTTATTCGTTTTCTGCCACGAATATATTTTTCTCAAAGTACATTTTGACTTTCTTTTAGCAGTGGATTCATCCCACATAAAAAGTGACCTTAACCATCACCAAGGGAATATATGATTAAATTATAGCACCACAGTTTTCTTTTATAGAATATGGGACCAGTGGTAAACTTTTGGTGTGGGAAGGGTTTGCTATAGATCAAAACTTATTACATGCACATCTGGTTTTAAGTTTGCTTCCTCTGTTGTGTATCTGATTGCCCATTGACCTGCTTCAGCTTTTCTATGATGTAGTTCTCGTTCAGTTTTATTATATTTTTTAAATATCAGTTTCTTCATTATATAGCTTAGCATTTTTTAAAGCTACTGAAAACTTATTGCATGCTTGACATGTATCCATTTTTGGAGTTTTGAAACTTTCCTTTTCTCTTTCAAAATGATTTCTCCTACATATTACTCATAACAAGCCTGAATAGAATATTCCATACTCATATGTCAGCTCGGGTTAAATGGTTTTTGTAAGCCATGGATACTTAGAAAAACCATTTTGTCCACTACTGCCTTAGTTTTCTTTCTAGTCACATTTTTAGATCTTATACAACCTTGTAAGTAAGCATTTTGTGCATCAAAATTGTTTTTGTTCCAAAAATTAATACAAATCGTTTGCAGTTCTTCTTCAGATGCAAATAACTCGTAGCATTTATTGGGACAACTATACGGTGGATCTTGTGTTTTTGATCAAACAATATTTCCCTTACCTCTGTATTGATTATATTCTTTTCCATGATTCCTGAGTTCTTTCATTTTTAATTGCTTACTTAAATTGCGTTTTTTTTCTAGATTTTGTTTTTGAAAAATTATTTTCTTTTTCTTGTTTACCTTGTTGATTTAATTCTCCATTTTCTTTTTCTTCCCCTCCTCCTCCTAAGTCGTAAGCTTTCCTTAAGTCCACAAATACCAGATGTGTATCCTTGTTTGTTGTTATTACAAACATGTTAAATACTGTATTAATCTTAATTTAAATATACGGTAAAGTACTGTTTTTTACATTAATTCCACATTTTAGGTATTAACATCGCTAACATGGAAAAATCGGAGAAGTCAATGGTGGAATTGGAATTAGAGTTAAATCAGAAAACTAACGAATGGATGGCAATACAGGAAAATGGGGGTGCCTTAAAACCTATTTACGGTCCTGGTTATACAGGAATGACAAATATGGGGAATTCATGTTATCTAAACAGTGTTATGCAAATGCTTTTTACAATTCCTGATTTTATTTTTAAATACTATGATGGAGCACTTCCTTTCTATGAAAAAGCAGGTTTGAACGCTCCTGAGGATTTCAATCTACAAATGTGAGTACAAAAAGTGAATATTATTCTGAACCTGTGTCCTAGCTGCATTTCACCTTTTAACCTTTGGCGGTGGTTGACATGTCTCATACGACATCAGGTGTATTTCATATGACATCATCAGTTTTATTATATACATCGGTTTTTGCACATAAGGGCTCTTGTTAATGAACGTTTTTTTCAACGGGTAACGGGCCGATGCTAAACGAGTACCCTTGTCGACGGTTCATAAATTTCAAGGGATATGCGTCCGTTGACAGTATGGAATCTCCGAAATGTCGTCAGTTTTAAAAATTATTCTAGCGTATTATTTGTATAAAAAAAATGCAGAAATAACGGGAGAAGCGTAAAAGAAAAATATGGATACATCCTATTTTGTTAGAAAGAGAAAAGTTTGGTGCTTTCAGAGTGTCAAAGAATGTATGAGAAATATGACGACAAAAATTATTTATTTAAGCTGTTTCGCAGTTATAAGCACACTGCGATTTGAAGTAGGCGTATCACTTACTTTCTACACTGCTTACGTCAGACCTACGGACTTTCTAATTTGAAATCTGCAGTGTTAACTGTTTCGATGTTACTCAGTGCGCCGGCCCACGGTTGTTTAATGACAATAAATGCATAATTCTCCATTCAAATAGTTTGTCGGAATATTTTTTAGATTGATTATCGTAGATATTGTTTAAAAAGAATTATCACATTTTAAGTTAATATGTCTTGCTAACTATAGTATTGAATAAAAATTGTGAAACGTGACTGCAAAAAACACCATGGTGTATTTATAATAAAATAACATAGTATTATCAAAACATTACATTTGTGTAACAAACTCAATTTCGCGTCTTAGTTCGACAGAATATCTGATATTATAACAAACCCTAAAATACCGATTCCAATCGTTTGTAAATAGAATACTAAACTGTAAAAACTAAGCAAGTTGATAAGGAAAATACAAGATTAGACTGATAATGATTTTGATTCAAGCGAACTAACTGACCGTACCGTACGTTCATGAATTTGACGTCACGAACGCGATAACGCGACAATATGAGTAACACGTTCACTATTAGATTTCAGTATTTTTTAGCAATTTTCTTCAAAGTTGGAATACGCTTTTCTCATTATTACTGGATACAGAAGGTGAAAAAAATCAACGATTACAAAAATAAACTCTTTCAAATGATGGCTAAAAAGTTTGGTTATAATAGAACTTAAACCGTATAATCCATTTTTTCAGCAGAAGTTTAAAAAAAAGTAAAACCATCATTTAAAGGCAACATATTTCGAATAACGTCCAAATTCGAGACATTTTGTCGTAAATAACAGAGAAAAAATTTTGTGCACCGTTAACAGCCTGAAGGTTAAAGTAAAAATAGACTACTCCCTACCCTCAAAAACTTTATCTTTTCTTTTTAATTTTTTTTCTGTGGGTTGCAGTCAGAATCAATTTAAAAATTCCAAAAAATTCACACGTTTAGTGAAGGTTTTTACAAAACTTGTGTTTTTTATAGACCCTAGGTTGGGTAAACATAACCTAACGAAGCTTTTTTGTCGAAAAAATCGTATAAAGTTTGTTTGCAGATGTCTGCAAAACCCATAAATTGGTTTTTATGAGTTTTTTGGTGATTTTCTCCAGTTTTTAGACTTTAAAATAGATCAAGTTAGGTTTTTTTTTAGGTTTTACATACATAATTTGAAGTAACTAGGTCCTGTATGATATTAAGAAATTGGTCGAAACATGTTTAAACCCAAAAAAGCATGTTTTTTTCACTATTTTTAAGGGTTTTTGCGGGGTTAATCACACGACCTCAATCATTTTTACATTTTATGTGAATAAAAATTAAGTCAGCAAAATAAGCACAATTTTAGCTTGTTGACACCGCCTCCCCTAGCCCACAAACCTCATTTGTATAGACCCGTATGTGTACATAACCTAAAAATGCATTTTTGGAGATAGCTGCAAGACTCTCTTTTTTATTTTGTGTATTTTATCAAAAATATGTTTCTGTAGAGTTCTGTAGATTTTTCCAAGTCACCTTCCAAAACCCAAAAAACTATTTTTATGGGTTTTTGGGGATTTTCCCCATTTTATCAACTTCAAAATAGATTAAATCAAGGTTTTTTATAGGTAATATATAACTTAAAGCAGCTGAGTCCTTGAGAACATAAAAAATCGGGAAAAAAAACCTTAAAACCTCTCAAAAATAATGTTTTCCAGGCTTTTTTGAGTTTTGCGTGGTTAATCATATTTTTTGAGATGGGTATAAGCTGAATCAATGCGTCTTCAATTCATATTCAGAAAATATACGAAAAAAAAATGCGGAGACCTCAAAGAAGCAAACACAACCAGGGTGGTTTTTGCGAAAAACCGGGTTTTCAAGGGTTATTTGGTTTTTTTACAGAATTTATCCAACTTTTTTTTTCACCTTTCTACATATAACAGACGGAATTTTACAATCCAATTTTTGAATATCCTAAAGGGCCTAGCGCGTAGAAGACACTTCTAGTCCGGCATCATTCCCAGACGGGCATTTCCTCCTTGCCCACAGTCTGACACACGAATTCTAACTCAACCAGTGTGACCCACTGTTCTAGCTTCACCTTTCAGCATCATTCACTCTTACCTTTGCCGTTGGTCCAGCTATCTTTCTTCCTCTTCCTTTTTCTTGATCACTGCACGGATATAGTTGTGTATGTTAATCCAACCTAATTTATTTTCAATCATTCTCTCAATCATTTCTCTCACTGTAACAAAATTCACACCTGTCTCTCTCTCCATTCTGTTTCTTTCCACTATCCACCTGCTGCAATCTAACATCGTATGTGTCACAGTGTCCGAGTATCGACAGTATAGGCATTCATCTGTATCAGCCTTTCCGATCCTATAGAGGTAGGCCCTAAAACACCCGTGTCCTGTGAGCACCTGCGTCAGGAAATAATTCAGTCGCCTGTGGCCACAGCCTACCCAAGCTCTTATGTTCGGGATCAGCATTTTCGTCCACTGTGCGACATCTTCTGTGTTTTTCCATTCTTCTTGCCATCTTTCAACTGACCTTTACCTTACCTGTATTCTCTCAGCCACAGTAAGGTTTGGCCCTCTTCTCTCATAAAGCTCTTTTCTTTCCACCGCCAAAACATGCAACGGAACACATCCAGTGATGGTCCATAAGGCTATTACAGACACAGTCCTGTAGGCGCATTCCACTCGCAACAGACTTGTTCTGTCTACTCGTGTCATGAGACTCCTATAGGCCGTTATCTCTACCGCCCCGCTCGAGACTGGTGCCGCGTAGAGGACGATCGACTGTACAACACGTGTAAGACCCTCATCCTTTCGCATTTGGGTCCTCCAATGTTCGGCATCACCCTCCCCAACGCAGCCGCACTATTCGCAGCCTTTCGGACCACCTCCCGCACGTGCTCCCCCCATTTTCTATTCTAGTGCAATGTCACTCATAGATACTTTACTTGTTTCTTGGGTGTTAGACATGCTCCCCCACATTTTAATTCAATACTTTGCCTGTTCCTTGTCCCCTTCAGAATGATGGCTTCGGTTTTCTCTGTCGCAAGTTTCAGTCCGTGCTGCGTCATCCATTTCTTTACGACGCCACCTGCGATCCGAACCCGGTATTTGAGATCTGGCTCATCCCGGGCTACTACCAGTACAGCGAGGTCATCTGCGAATGCGAGGGGGGTTGTACCCTCTCCGTATTCACAGTGCATAACACCGTCATATGCCAGATTCCATAGAGTCGGGCCCAAGACAGATCCCTGGGGTACCCCGGCCGTCACGTCCACGATCGTGCCCTTTTCTACCATAATCCTTCTCTCGGACAGATACTCCGCCACAACATTCATCGGGTAACCAGGACATTCTCTCTTCTCCATTGCCTTCATTACCTCGTTCCACTGCAGCGTATTGAATGCATTCTTAACATCAAACAACAGCAGGGCCGCCCAGCGATGTTCATCCTCCCTGTTGCGCAATGCTTCGAGTACACTTATGATTGCATCAATCGTGCTTTTCCCTTTAGAAAAATCAAATTGCCTTCGAGATAAACCACCTGACCTCTCAATCATGTCGTGTATGCGTACTCGCAGCATCCTTTAATATAGCTTACTGATGCATGGAAGAGGACAGATGGGGCGATACTTTTCCCAAGCTTTGGGAAGCAGTATTAACCTCGATGTCCTCCAAGGCTCAGGAAAGGATTGTGCTTCCAGCAGTGCATTCATGTGTTCCAGAAGCCACGCAGGCTCCACCCGTCCTAGACCCTTCACCGCCTCAGATGGTATCTGATCCAGTCCGGGAGACCTACGAGTCTTCAGTGAATCCAATGCCTCGATAACTTCATCCATGGTAAAGGGTACAGCCCGCTCAGCTCCTCATCCCTCCATACACCATGACATCTGCCGTCCGGAAAGAGCTCTCTTGTTACCTCAAACTTCTTGTCCATAGGCATTTCGTAAGGAGGATACGCATGAAACTTCTTCATGACGATCTTGTATCCCTGACCGTAGATGTCCTCATCCAGCTTTTCACACAGCTCTTTCCAGTGTCTTCTTTTTCTGTACGGATCTTCCTGTACAGTTCCCTCTTCCTTGCGCGGTACTATTCCTCGATCTCCTCGATGACCTGAGGATTGATTTCTGCTCTGCCTCTTAACCTTCTTCTCATTGCTATACATACATTTCTTAGTGCCTCGATGTCCGCATTCCACCAATATGGCATCCTGTTGACATCTTGGCGACCAATCTTGCTTCCTTCCATCGCTTCTTTAATGACTTTCTCCAGGCTTTCCACCGTCGGTGATTGACCCTACATTATGCTCACTCTCCATTTAATTAGCTCCTCGTATACTTTCCAGTCCTTCCCATCGCCACATCTGCCCCCGGACGTCCCGGATGCACGGACCGTGTTAGTGGTCCCCGTTCCAGTTATCGAGAACTCGATGTATTGATGTTCAGTTCCGGTGTAGTCTGGCAAAACCTTCCAGCCTCTTGCCTTCGCCGCTATTCCCTGTGTCGCCATGGTCACGTCGATGTACGTACCTGTACCTCTCCTAACAAACGTAGGTTCCAGACCTGTGTTCAGAAACACTAGATCTAGAGTACCCACCCAGTCAGTTAGTATCCTGCCGCGAGTATCGGTGATAGGAGATCCCCACTCCGCTGCTGTTGCGTTAAAATCTCCCAGCACTACGTATTTTCCTCCTGTGTTTCCCACTTCCTGCATGATCTCATCTATCTTCATCTCGTACTCGCCCACCATCACGTTTGGAGAAATATAATAGCAGACCAGCCGCACCCCCTCCATCTGAACAATCACATGAACTTCTTTCGGCTTAATTTCATACACTCGCAGCTTCCTATTGTAGATTCGTACAGCAGCCCTCCCGGTCGTATACACAAACCATCCTCTTCTCTTCACCGCTGTTGTATTTGGTTCTGCCGTCACCAGTATATCGATGTTCTTTTCTACTGCGGCAGCCTCAGCAAGATCATGTGCTAATCTTGCCGTTCCAACATTAGTTTGGAGCACCCTTAGCTCTAGAGTCCTGTTTTCTTTGTTTGCTATTTCTAAACCTTCGACTTCTTTGGCGTTCACTTTTACATTCTCGTACTCTTCTTGGGACTAGTCCTCAGTAATTCCTATTTTCAACCAGTTGGTTGAACTTTGGACATATTCTTGAATTCGCCACATGCCCATTCACGTCGCAGTTCAGGCATCTGGTTGTTTCTTCCTTGCATTCCAGCGCTATGTGACCCTCTTTGCCACATCCGAAGCAACATCTTCTTCTGTTCTGCCCCTTGCAGTGCCATTGTTTATGTCCAAAGGCAAGACATCTCAGGCATCTCGGTATTTCTATCCTTGATTTTATCACTCGGCAGGATGTGTAGTTTACTTTTATTCTTTTCGTGTCTCGGTCCAAAGTTTTATAATGTCACAGGCCCGCTCTTTGCCAGCTGCTTCCTCAGTACCCTTTTGGATCTTTTCCTTCGTTGTATTAGGTGGGATTTCCTGTAACAAGATTCTACTCTTAACGATGCCTCCTTTTACCACTGCTCTCGACACGCATGTATTATCAGAGAGTATTATGATTCTTCACTTCCTCCGCCATTTCCCGTCCTCCGATCATTTCCAGTGATATCCCTTGGTCTCTAGTCTGTCTGATCATTTTAATGTCAATGTCCTTTCTTCCTGTCCTTTCTTCCGTTTGTTTTTTACTTCTGTCATTAGATCCACAAAGGATTTTTCTTTGGAGTTATTGATGATTACGACTCCATTTTGTTCTTTGACTCCGATCAACTCCCAGTGCTGCCGGTGTGTGGATTTCCAAGTTTTCTCTCAGCTCCTCCATCTTCTGTAGCAGTTTCCTGCATGTATTCAAGAACTTCACCGGCACCGGTTCTTCCTTTTTGTTTGGAAGAAGTTTAAATCCATACTTCTCCTTGTGGATCCACGTTCCATCTTTATGAGCAGACATCATGACTCTCATAGTTCCCAGGCCGCTCTCCTCGTCCACCTCCGCTGGAGCACCTGGTAGCTGCGGAAATATAGCTTTGGCCTTTTCCATAGCTTTGTTGTCCTCGTCATTTTTGGTGACAAAGACTGCCACATCTTCTGTTATTTCTGAGATGTCTCCTTCTTTCACTATAGTCCTAGTAAAGACCTCCTCTGGCCAGTCTTCATTTAAACACTCTATTGTTTTCTTCTCTTCCTTACATGTTGTCATCTTGTTCGTGAGAGCGTCTACCCTTCGTTTAATGCCTTCTGGATTCTCTAGGTCCACTTGAACCCCCATTGTCGCCAACTTCTTAACTTTCAAGGGTTCCATGTTGATCTGCACGCCTCTGGATGTCATGCACACAGACTTCCTTGGAGCCTCTTCTTCCTTATTTTTCTCCACTTCCTCGATATAATCGAGCATCCGATTTCTCAGGATGTCGACCTCCCTCTTTATGGATAGCTTTGTATTTGGCACCTTTCTCATAAGTTTCCCGAGTTCCGCTACGCTGTCCTGGAGACGCTCCAACTTTGATCTAGTTTTGTAGTTCAGTGGCTGCTTCTCTTCCTCCGAACTGGACGTTTCTGTCCTGGTGTTTCTATCCTAAAGGACTTAGTTACTTTAAATTATGTATAACCTGTCAAAAACCTAATTTGATCTATTTTAAAGTGGAGAACTGGAGAAACTCCCTAAAAAAACATTAAAAAGCAGTTTTTTATGGGTTTTGCAGCCATCTAAAAAAAAATTAAACGCTTTTTTCGAGAAAAAAAACTTAAGTTTTGTTAAAGCCTTAACTATGCCTACAACAAACGAAAAAAAAATATCCCATAAAGGTAAGAAAGATGGCAAATGGACAAGACTCCGAAGCCAATAATGCACAAAGACAACAAACGAAAAAAAAATAAACGAAAAAAAAAATTAAAAAAGAAAAATGACGTTTTTAATGGTTAGGGGGAGGGGTGGCGGTTTAAAGTTGTGCTGACTCTTTTTTTTAATCAAATAGAATAAAATAACGGTATTTTGCCGATCTTAACGGGGGGGGATACTTTTTTATCAGATAATTGATAAAGCCAAATATTATGCTACATGACAGAAACTACGCTGCGTGACTGCTGCGGGTTGGAAAAAGTTGAAAATCTCCCGTCTCTAAGCAGTGCAGTATGTCATCGGTATAACTCATGCCGCGGTAGTAATGCTAGACATGCCAACAATCTATTGAACGATCAAGAATCAGGAATCTAGAATTTTAAGTTGAAGTTTGAAGTAGTACATGAGAGATTTAATTATGTTAAAATAAATACTTTTAGGGCGAAACTTGGACACGGTCTTTTATCGGGAAAATATTCTGTACCTCCTCCCGCTGGATCCCCTGTCGATGCCGATCCTCCTGGAATTTGTCCCCAAATGTTTAAAAATCTCGTCGGAAAAGGACATCCCGAATTTTCAACGAAGAAACAACAGGATGCTCAAGAATTTTTACTTCATATTTTATCATTATTAGAAAGGAATTCGAAAGACTCGACAAACCTAAACCCTGGAGACTGCTTTAAATTCCAAGTCGAAGAAAGATTTCAGTGTGGTTCTAGTAAAAAGGTTAAATATTTAACACGATCTGAACTTATTTTGTCTTTATCTATACCATTGGATGCAGCCATTAACAAAGACGAGGTATGTATGTTTACATTTTTTTTTGTATATATGTAAGTATATTGTTTTATCATGTTGACTTTAAGATTTTTGCTCGCCTTATGTCTCTGGATTTTTCTGGAGGTTTACGTATCAAGGCTTATTCTTAAATAAGTAACTAGATCTTGGAGCTGAATCGACGCTATGCAAAGGATCAATAAATTGTTACCAGCCCAGTGATGCGATGGGATCTTGAGTTCGTTTGAGTGAATGTATATTGTCATTGCCATGCAGGTTAACGGCCCTTACACTTTTATTTTGAAATTCACAGCGCACTTTTTTATCGTTTCAGAGTGTTTCCGAATTCATTGTATCACCACGATGCAAAAAATTAACAAGCAACATCAGTTCTTGTCCAAAAACACATTACATAAGTTTTTCCGGACTGAAATTGTTCAAACTTCGTAATCGTAGTATTTCATGGCCTGTGACAATTATCTTTAAATAATCTTAACCTTCAGCTTAGTAACGCCCAAGAAAAGTCAAGACACTATCTAAGTGTTTGTTTTGTGCCTAGTCAACATTTTTTTACCAATCGTTAGCACTTTTCAATTTTCAATAACTTGATTGTAGGGTAACAATTTTGTAGATAACACTGTTCGAAACTGGAGAGAAGGATTCAGGTAAAACCATTTGAAAAGCCTGATATTGCGTCATTATTTTTAGTTTCACCATATGTATATCTATGTGTAAGTGTCTATCTATATGAATAGCTTCTTATCGCATCACACAGAGATCAATAGAATGATTAACAACGAGCCTACATCTCTTACCGTATTACGCATCCATACATCGATTCGATACATCGGCGTATTTTAGTAAAAGTCTCAGATATATGTGGATCTTATACTACTACATTAGACCGACTAGCGTTTCACCATATATCCTGCGTATAATTTTGCTTTTCCATCACTACAATCCGTTATATTTTTCTGTATATTCTTTTAGCTTAACAAACAGATTGCACTGCTGTATACCTATTTATTTGAATTGTTCTGTATATTTTTTATCTTGTGATTAATGCAATAGTCGACAAAAACAATTACCTACTTGCCTTTTCTTAGTGTCTCTTTTGCTCTGTCCTAAAATAAATTCCAAGGTCAGGTAGAATTAGACAGCGGGTCTCCCTACATTTACTTTATTCATTTGGGGTCTTAACTAATTTTATTAGTTTTTTTCGGTATTTTTAATGAAATCAGTCTTCTAGAAGCCATACCTTTCAATGGAGACATAGGCTTGCTTGATACTAATATGTGAATAATATGTGATAATAGTATGTGAAGTCAAAGATTTTGCTTCCTTAACAGAACTTGCTGAAGCTTTAAATTCTTATAAAGATTCTCAATCCCGGATCAGATGGATCCCTTTACCATTTATACGACATCTTCCAGACAATGGGAAAAATTGATTATTAGACCTTTATCTGGAACAGCTAGGTATTTTCATCAACCTGATCTGAAGCCTCTTCTTAATCTAGACAAATCCCTAACATCCCCAGAATCATATCGGCCAATATCTTTAACCGATATTATATGTAAAGTGTTGGAGAAAATCGTAAATAAGAGTTTGAGATGGTATTTAGAACAACAAAAACACCTTATTCTCAAACAAAGCGGATTTGGGCAAAGTTGATCCAATATAGATAACTTAATAGACTTAAAGTCAGGAGTACATGAAGCATTTGCAGATAAACAGGATTGTATTGCAGTATTCTTTGATATTAATAAAGGTATATTCTACTGTATTCAGTATCTTGTCAAAATTGCATAATTGGAATATTAGAGTGTGACGGGTAGCTTTTTCGGGGCGACAGACTCAGTAAAACACGGGTTGAAATAAAAATCAATCTATTAATTTAGCATATATACAATAAATAAAAATAAAATGAATCCTACGTCCCCGTCTGGATCACGCGATGAATGAATTCCCCGGCGAACGTCTATAAAAGAAAGAAACAATTATTATTAATAACAAAGAAATGAAATAGGTGAAATTAATCGCACGCAGACTTATACTCGATCCGCTTCAATTCAGCGGGAGCTCCGAACGTACTCGCAAACTAAATATTCGGCTGTGCAGGCCCACGGTAATGTTCAATACACAATACCGATGGGTTCTGCTTGGTTAAGGTCAGAGTATGATCCTCAATACGGAAATCTCTCTGTCCGGGTTGGCTCGCAGCTTCAATACACCGGCGAGTCGGGGAGCCTAGAGCCCTAGCTACAAGACTGCCTAATTCCGCTACTCACACGCCTTAAATAGCCGCTCCGAATCCCACTTCGCCGTCTCGTTGTAGAAGTGGATGCGGAAATATTGACACTCCCACGGTTCAAACTGTTAAACGATCAGAACATCGTTACAAGAGGTAATTTGTTCAATGCTCACCAGTTAATAAAAGAAGACTGTAGGTCGATGACTTAGTTTTATGTCTAAGCAAGACTATGACTTAGCTTTATTTGTCAAAGGAAAAACCTTAAATCTATTCAAAAATATTTACAATATACACTCAATAAGTTAGAATGATGGTCTGAATCTATCGGATTACAATTTTCACCAACAAAAACTAAATGTATTCTATTCACACGAAAACATATCTGAAATCATATAATCAAACACTCAGTTTCACATTGTTAGGTATGTTTTTCGACCAAAAGCTATCCTATAAAAAACATACAGAGGAATTTTGTATTATCATCTCAAGCAGGATTTAATTTTGTATTTTGTAAGATCAAAGTACACTATTACATATATATACATTTTTAGTTAGATCCAAATTTCTATGGCGCGATAGTTTATTCCTCTTGCAAAACATCAGCATTCAAAACCTTAGAAACTATTCAAAACACAACTCTACGAACAGCTACAGGTGCGTTTCGGACGAAACCAGTCAAAAGTTTACAATGCCTAACAGTAGAACCATGCCTAAGTTTACGATATAAATATCTTTGTCTCACAGCTGCTTTCAAAATATCTAGTATAAAGAGCATCCTACTTATACCAATACGTTTCCGGATCGATTTAAAGACATAGGTTCTCTTCAACAAGATTAGATTCACCATTTTATGGAAGTGTTGGAAGAAACCGTTACGACCTGCATCTTCAATTTCCTGACAGCTATTCTCACACCAAATACGTCCTTAAAATTTAAATTCAAACCCATTACTTCATTGTACACTGCAGAGTTGTGTGTATTAATACAGGTATTTATCCATATAAAAGAGTTCTTGTTCCCCATAGTCACATATTCACTAAGCTCGCTTCACACTATCAAACCTTTATATACCAATAATTTAATCACCTTACAGATTAAATTAAAAATAGCGAACCTAAACGAAAAAAAGCTTTGTTTGTCCCATCGCATTTCGGTATAAAAGGAAATGAAGAAACAGACTAACTCGCCCGCTCAGCATCCTTCACATACGATTCTATTTACATTAACGAAGTTTCTTCTTAATATTTGAAATCAGAAATCAAATATAAACTGTTTAGTGCGAATAAAACATGTGGAATGTATCGCAAAATAAACTAAAAGAAAGTCCCCCCCTCCCCCGGCGATTGCGGTTAGGTCACAGTAACTTAACCCATAAATACCCTCTTTACACGAATTGTGTCACCTTCTTCTTCTTCCTCAGCTTTTCCCTTTTCAGGAATCGCTCTTCGTCGCCATTCATTTCTGTCTATCTAATTTTTTTTCTAAAACCGTAGCTTTTAATCATTACATATTATAAGTATACTGAGAAATCTATATATTACTACGAAGTATGACCTCCTTTAGCAGAAATGACCTCTTTAACACGTTTTGGCATTGACTGCACTATTTTAGCGCTCTTATTCTTGACTGCAATATCGTCGAACAACACTTGTATAGCACTAGTATAATTTTTTCCTTTTGTAGTGAAATTCATCTTAGCCACATGTTTCATCATACTTTTAATAGCAACTAAGCTTCCAGTGCCATTTGTTGTGAAAAAATCCCAAAATATCTCTTTAGAATATTTTTAACCTTCATCCTTCACTTCGTCTAACAAAACTTGAAAATATATCCTGCACATAACTTATATCCCCGCACAAATAAATGTGATTCATCACTGAAATCATCTTTTCCAGTCGTCCAGAGTCCATGATCGGTATTTTTGATCCATGCTAAGCGTTTTTTCATCATTTTCTGCATTAGAATTTTTTTTTTTCGCTTTTCTTTCCTTTCGGCCAACTTCCAGAAGCCTTTTCTGTATAGTTGAGGTACTCACTTCAATAACCTAATCCAGTACATCTCTTCGACAGTCTGTACTTGTCTTTCTTGGATTTAGTTTGCTATTTCTTATTATAATTTTATCACTTCGTAGTTTTTCCGTTTGGGCCCTCATTTTTCTTTTTCTTTTTGAAGGTGATGCGGAATCTTGAAATTCTTCGTCACAATACCATTCGTCAAATACCATAACGTCACCACATCCTTATGAAGGATAAAGGATAGAGGAGAAGGAGGAATTATTTTCCATATCTGCTAATATGTTGTGAATTTCTATTCATGTCTTGAATTTTTATTTTTAGCGTATATCTGTTCCTTTTAATTTAGCTCATGAAAGACGGATGCGTCAGAGGTAAACCTAATACTTTGCAAATTAAATAAGCTCGCTTTCTTGTAGGTATCTGCATACGAAGCCCGAAAAGTAGAAGTAGAAAAACAAGGCAAACGACTAGAACCAGACGCAATTGTTCGTCCGAAAATTCGGTTTATCTCATGTTTAGAATCTTTTAGCGAACCAGAACTTATAAACAATTTTTATAGTTCGGCTGTTCAAGAGAATGTCACTGCAAGAAAGTAAGTATATTTTAATATTTGTATATAATATTTTATTCACTTTCTTCTTGGTCGCACTCAATTACATAATTTATTCTACCGTGGTTGACAATGGCGTAATTGACATTTTTCAAACATTACGTATTTGTATAGCCAGTTTTAATTGTTCGTTCGGTGTTTGAGAAAAAAATGAAATTGATGCACACACCCTAAAACCAGTTGTTACCAAAATGTGTACTTAAAGAAAAAGGACTGCCATCGCTCAGGTTAATATATACAGAGTAGATTGCGTGCTCCCTTTTTAAGCGCATACTTAACCATTAAAAATTAATGTTTTAAAATTATTTAGGCTTAAATTATTCTTTGGAAGTTTTAAAGAAATGTTTCAACTTTCAAGGATCAAAATAAAACAACCTAGCTATTTGGGTATAGTGGTAAACAAGAAATACTGTAAAGCAAATAATCGGTCATCCTGTGCGTCCAAAAAAGTAAAGTTCGTGTAACCTCTGCTAAGGTCTATGTTGGGTTTTCAGGTCGCGCAAGCGCCCTAGCATGACTTAACGACTACTTCGTAGCTGGGACCGACGGCTTAACGTGCCGAAGCACGGTGGCAGCTCAGTTAAATAAAATTTTTAAATTTTTGTCGTGCGGGATTGAACCCGGGCCCTCCAGCTTGTTAAGCCAGTACACCACTAACTACGCTGCGCACCTGCGTCCAGAAAACACAGAGGCACCATGGCAGCCCGGGTATGCGCCTCGTGTGCGAAATCTCGCGCAAAAGGCGAATCTTTCGATGCAATAAATAAAGCTGGCATAGAAGTACTCACGGTGATAGTGGAGATTAATGAATATACGTTAACTTCCGTTCCACCGTAAACCACCTTCAGCACCGTTCACCTTCATCACAAGTAACTTTGGATCACAACCAAACCGATTCATTCTTGGTGACGACGGTAGCCACAGCATTGGGGATACAGGGAAACAGACAACAACGGCCGACTCTTTAAGAAATGGGCAAAAGCAAACAGTCATAGCATTATACACGATCGCAAGTTGCCACATTCCTTCCAAAGCAACACCTGGAAGGGAAGATACAATCTTGACCTTTGCTTCGTCAATAGTAGCCCCGAAAATCTCAAGTATCAAAAGGGTGTACATTCCCAAAACTCAACATCAAGTGCAAATAAGTAAAAACACCTTATATTGCCCTCCAAAGTAGAATCAACTTCAAGAACGCAATCTAGTCAGATTTTTTGCCACACCGAGGTACGTCTCAAAACAGATAATTGCAGGAGGTTGCAGGCAGCATTATATCTCCGGCGTAGCTGAAGGATCCCAAAGCCTAACAAAGTACGGTTGACTTTACAAGAAAGATCCACTCTTAGCCTTTAAAACGCATATTTGTCAATAGGACATTTGGATAAAAAAATATCGAATTTTTAAAGTCCAGTAGATACAAATTTTATTGGACATTGATTTCGCGCGCGTAACTGACATGCAAAATCGACAGTCTCTTCAAGCGTTGTTTCTAAGAGAACGCTTCATTCTACACAAAAAAAGCTTATAAACATTTTTGTTTAATATTATCCCAGAAGCATTTTTTCTACGGTGTACAGATTCTGTGTAAATCGATTTTTTGCGTTATAACCCCCGTTTTAGATGGAAGCCCGGGGGTAAAAATGGCAAACTTTTTGCATCTTTTTTGGGGTCCCAAAATTAATATTCTCGACAAAATTCAGCTTGTTCGTATGATTTTTAGAGGTTAAGTGGCATTTTCGTCTGTGACGACTGGAGTATATGGGGTACCATTAATTTTGTAAAATTTGTACTTACTATCCATTACTAATTTTGTAAATTTGTGAAATAAATATTTTAAATTAACTATGGTTACTAATAATAGTATTACAATTGATATATTTTATCATTTCCCCATTCCTTTTAGAACAACTAGGTTGTCATCATTTCCTGATTACTTGGTAATCCACCTCAAAAAGTTTATGTTGAGGGAAGATTGGGTCCCAATTAAGTTGGACGTTTCTATAGAAATGCCCGACGTATTAGACGTAAGTTCCCTTCGTGGAGATGGACCTCAGCCAACGGAAGAGTTACTACCAGAACTCCAAGTACCTCCACCAGCTCCGTCTATGGATGAAGGAGTTATTAGCCAATTAATGGAAATGGGTAAGTAGCTTCATTGAAACCTCTTCAAATCTGCATTTATTATAGTGACAGTTTTATTTTATATACTATTAAAATAGTCATAGGTTTTGTCTGAAGTTCCTTTAGCGAGAGAATTTCAAATAAATAAATATGGTTTACCTTATAACCGTCTGCATTAATTCTTAATGACCGAATTCGAATAAGAAAGTAAATCCCATTGCCAATAAATCCGTAGTGCTCTTTATGTATTGGATATGATGTATTTCAGTTCATAATTATCATCGATTACACAAATATCGTTTGTCTAAAGTACAAAAATATCTAAGAGGAAGTTTTAAATATTCCAGCGATAATTACATCCATCCTGACAAGAACAGAACCCTGCCTACCCTTAGCCTACACGCAACAACAGCATATCGAAATAACTTTTTTGCTCGTTATTTGACAATTTTCATAATAAATTTTGTCAATTTTGAATTTTAAAGTTATAATAGACTGGATAATATTTGAACATCATATTCAAAACCACGTAAAGGTACCTCTAGTTTTTCAGAAAAAGTGACAAAATTTAAGAAGAAATAAGTCTCCTTTTTGCTGTTGCTTCGTATAAGTGTAAGCACTTTGTGTTCTTCCCATCCTATGGTTTATTTCGAACACTGAAAGAACAAGGTTTTTTTTGCAACAAGCACTATAAGAGCAGATGGAACAAAACGGTGTCCTCTACAATATTCAAACCTTATGAAAAAAGCCCTAGGGGTTGTTATGATTATTACTTTGAGGAGAATACGCACATTTCTTTAGTAAGCTGGTACGATAACTCAATAGTTACTTTGATTAGCACTTATTAACATATCGAACCATTAATAGCTGCAAAGAGATACAGCCGACCACAAAAAAAAATGCTAGTGTGTCACAGCCTGCAGTTATTTACCCATATAATAAAAATATGGGTGGTGTAGAATTATATGACAATGGTGTATTCAACTACCGGATAATGGTTATGGTAAAGAAATGGTTCATGGGAAATTTAAAAATGTTGTCGATTCGTTGAAAATATATAATAGAGCAAATGTCGCAAATCGACTTTGCATCTTACCCAGATTTGCGACTTTTGAAATTCGAAAATACCAGAGAATCCCGAACGGTTCCAGTTAATGTACCAAATGAATTTCGCAAAGATCATAATGGATCACGTTATTTTTTTCTTCTTCTCTTTTATATAAGCAAAATGCTTGTTAATGTCGTTTAATGCCTCTATTGGAGGGTTAACTCATCTTTTGAAGTGGTCGCCGATACTTCTTCTACCTTTTGGTGGATTTGTCCCTCGCTATTCTGACTTATCGGGTCTCTCATATGTTTATGTGTTCGTTCCTTTCCTTTTTTTGTTCAGTGTCCACTAATTTATTTCTGGTATATTGCATTTTTCTTTGATTCTCTTCACTCATCATTCGTTCCCTCAGGTCAGTTTCCTGTAATTCTCCTCAGTAAACGATCTACGCTGTTTCTAGTTTTGCTGAGTTTTGGAGGTATCCGGTCTTGTACTCTGAAGTGTATGTCAATTATTGGTCTTATTGTTGCTTTGTTGATTCTTGAATTTCACGTCGGTTTTAATGTGTGGATTGCGCCATATCGTGTTAGTAAGAACAACCTAGTATTTTTTTTGATTAGCCTTTTGTACTTGATTTTTCACTTCCTTCTCACAATCTCCGTAGCTATGGACAGTGTAATTCCTAGGTAAATTTGTATCCATTCTATGCTCAATGCTGGTTACCGGCGATTTCCAGTTTACATCTAATTGGTTCTTTACTGATTACAATTGTTTTTGTTTTCTGGTGTAGGATCACCCATTTTAAGTCCTTTGACCTTGTGTTTGATATCTATAGGTTAGTCTTTGTAGATCGTTTTATTGGATGCAATTTGGGCACCCCGCATCATCTGAATAGCAGAGTATTCTGATTTATTTGTTTCCATTTGTATCACATCTTCCTTGATTTAATAGTTATTGAAGATTTCAATCATGATAGATTGAATAGCGTTGGATGTAAGCGATCTCATTGTCTTATTCATTGCCCAATCTATTGGATCTGTAAGCTGGTATACTATTCTGACTTCCATATTGAATGTTCTGGTTAAATGTTCTCTATTGGTTTTTATAACTTTAGTGGAAGTTCTCTATCGTAAAAAGGTGCAATTACTCTTTAGCTTTACTTTATCACGCTTTCTTCAGGTCTAATAGGACATATGAATGGTGGTCTGTTATATCTAGTGCTTTCTCGAAAATCTGTTTTTTGATGATTCTGCATCTGTGGATCGATCTTCCTGTGCGAAACCCTGCGTTCATCCGCTAGGTAATTCTCTGATGTATTTGGTTGCAATATTTTGGTTGTAAGCATCAAAGTGTGTGTTTTATAAGTTGAACCTCTGTATAGTTTTCAGGTTGTTTTTTATCTCTTTTTTGTATAGTAGGATAAGTCGCTTTTCTTCCACTCTTCAGTATTTTATATGTTGATGATTTTGTTATTTAGTGTTGTTAGGCTGTTCTGTTATTGCTTCTCCATCAATATTTCAATAATTCATTTGAATTCCATCTTACTGAAGGCTTTTCTGTTCTTATTTTTCTAAAGTTTGTTTTAATTCTTGTACGGTTATCTCGACTTCCTGTTTTAATGATTTCTGGTGTTTCTGGTTCTAAACATCATTTGCTGTTCATCATTGTAAAGTTCTTTATGTTTTCAATCCATGTCGTCGTTTTATGGGTTTCGGTCGATTAAGTCTTTCATCTCTGATCTTTGCCTCTTATGATACGCCATATTTTCCTTTTGTAGACCGTAAAAGTCGTGTTCCATTCTTTTGAGAAGCGTTCCCAGTGTTCGTTTTTAATTTTTCTTACTAGTGCTATTGTTTCGTTTATTACGTTATTTTTAAAAAAGAAAAATGTAGACGTTGCAGGATATGTCATAATCATACAATATATATGTGTCAAAAGTGCAAAGTTCATTTGTACGCCAATTGTTTTTCGCAATACCATTGTTAACAGATTTAGCCAGTGGTGTGTATATGCATCACTCTTTTTCTTTTAAGTTTCGAACATGAAAAGTTTACCTTCATTGTGCTTTTTTTAACGAATAAAATTATTACAATCGTTACATTCGTTTTCTTATCCTTGAAAAAAGATGGGGTAGACTGTCATTTAAAACATTTACACTTAAATCGTTTAAAAGACAAAATAAAACATATAGTACTTAAATAATCTTTATTTTTAGGTTTTCCAATAGACGCATGTAAGCGAGCAATATTTCAAAGTGGAAATGCTGGCGTGGAACCGGCTACCGCTTGGATTATGGAACACATTGCAGATGCGGATTTCACAGATCCTTTCGTGCCTCCCGGTACCGAAAATACTAAATTTGTCCCAAATCCAGATGCCTTAGCTACAATTGCCTCTATGGGATTCACTCCAGAACAGGCTACCAAAGCTCTAAAGGCAACTGAAAATAATGTTGAGAGAGCGATGGATTGGATTTTTTCACATCAAGACGAGTTGGATAACATAAAATCACCACCACCACCTACATTTAGAGATGGAGAAGGAAGTAAGTATTGCTCGGCAGTATTTGTTTTTGGCAAAAATTAATTCTAATCGAGTGGCGGAGGCTTAGAGAGTAGATTTTATTGTTTTGTGTCTGACGTCTGTTTGTCGCCCTAAAAAACATATTTTGTATATACATATTAATCAGGTATTTAAATATTGTAATAGTGTCAAAATAAAATTTAAATCCAATGAAATATAATTAAGGAATAGTTTATCGCTATTTAGAATATATTTTTTTATTATTTATATATACAAAATAATTCTTATCAATACACATAATGACCTATTGTAATTACCCATTAATTCATATAATCCTGATTTAAATTTTGTTTAATTATGATTGGCACTTGCACGCCATTTTGAAATGGCTATTTGACTTTAAATATTAAAGATGAAAATCGGTAAAAGTTATATGGAAAACTGAGACTATTTTAGTGAAAAAGCATAGTATATCCAAATGAAATGGGTGAAATAAAATGAGTAAAGATATTTTTATTAATTTGTTATTAAGTTATTGCAAAAATAGCTTTAAAAGACGATTTTTTGAAAATTATTAATAACCTAAAAAAAGAAAAGAACAAAAACTTTAATTTTGCGTAATGGTAAAAGAACAAAAACTTTAATTTTGCGTAATGGCGACAATGTCACAAATAAGCTGTAAAAATTTATAAAAGTTGCACATAAAATTTATTGCAAAATTTTGAACCTTATTATGCTTAATGTATTGGGTCTAAATTCTTAATTCCGAAAACACTAAATTTAAGAGAAAGGTTTATTTTATCAAATTAAATCATTTAACGATGTTGAGAATTTTAAATCAGGTTTAAAACTGTAATTTTAAGCTTATAAACATTTAAAATAACTTATTAACATGTAGGAAGTTAATTTTTTTTATTCGAAATCTTGGAATTTTTACACGAATTTAAAAAAAAATACAATGTCATACAACCCTTTAAGGGGGTATGTTCACGCCGCAGTTAAAATGAGTGGTGTTCAAATCAACTAACGTTTAACAATTTCTTAAATAGATGGCAGCACGTGCATCATATTTTAATATTTTGATTTTCTCGAAATTTAATTATCTGAACAGCGACAGTGTTGCCAACGAGGCCAAGTACTGGAATTTAAAATATAATATACGATCGGGAGAATCGGTATAGTTCGCTCTCGGTCGGCAGTCTTCTGCAATGTAAGTTGAAATTGCGTTATCGTATTATTTGATTTGAAGTTTCACAAATTCTAATTTTTGGATTGGATAATTGGATCATTCCATATCATTTTTTAATTTTTGTATCGTGTTGCGTTGAGGTTCATTTACATTTGAAGTTAAATTGTTGTTTTGTTTTGTTTTTTTTTTGTGAAACATTTTAAATGGTGCATATTAGTTTTGTAAAAAACTATATACACCTGTAAATTTCATAATTTATTAACCCATCAGAGGACGCTAAGGACTGATCAGTTCTTTGTAATTTTACATTTATCTTGGCAATAAGACTATTGAATTTATATTCATTTTCAGCTAGTAAACGAAAACCTTCCGTTGCTAAATCAATTTTTTTTCATTTTAAACTTCATTCTGTAAAAATGTCATTAACCCACTCTAAAGTGTGTTTTTAAAGTTGTAACTTCTGCAGTTTTTCCAATATTTTCCATGGACACGAAAACATAAGATGCCATAGTCGAATCATATTTTCTGGCAGACATGACTTAATAAGAGGATACAATATCGCCGCTAACTTGTCAGCAGTTTTGTCTAAGGTCTCAAGTGAACGAAGTTGACTATCAATCATATCATAAAGAGCAGAAATATTACTATTATATATATATATATATATATATATATATATATATATATATATATATATATATATATATATATATATATATATAATACTAAGAAACTCGACTTAAAATTAACTTTGAGAGCTCTCTAATGTAAACTTCAATTTGGAGATCCTCTATGCCAAACCTAGACTGCAATCTCTGAATAATTTTTGAACTCGATTGGAGGTAATTTAAATTTGGGCTTCTTCGAATATACTTTTAAGTACCGTAGGTTAATCGAGGCAAAATTTTGCCTTGGTTTTACCTTTATTTACCTTTATAGTCGTACTTGTTGAATCACAATATCGAGTAATAAAAAAAGGGGTCGATGGTCAGAAGTTATATCGGCAGCTGTTATATGGGCAATCAATTGAAAATTTTGGATTATTGATAAGAAGAGAATTATTTGTAAGGTATGCTTTAGGTCAAGCTGATGTGAAAGAGATTTCATGTGCAGAAATTTCTGTGTGGTGTTTTGTCTACAACTTCCTGTTCCTTTCTATGTTAATCAATGTGAATTGAACTACCGATTTGTTTGCTGTCGTTCAGATCGTCAAATTAAGTATCTGTACGGTAATATTTTTCCTTTTATGTACTGTTTTGTGAATTTATTCCAGTTATTAGTTTCGGTTTCATAATTAATTTTTCATAAGTTGATTTTTGTGAGTGTAAGAGAGAATCTTTCTGTGCAATATGAGTGGAAAGCGAAAGAGAGTAATTGCACCTTTGGGAACAAAAGTGAATACAATTAAGAGGTTGGACAAGGGTGAATCAATAAAGAAGGTTTCTTTAGATTTAGATGTCGGAGAAGTAACTGTTGGATATTGGAAGCGTAAGCCGAATGAAATCGAACAGTGGGTAACCCGAAGTGTGAGTGGTGGTAGTGGATTGGTCCAAACAGCTTTGTTGCTGTTGGACAACGCACGATCCCACCCATATGTGAGGGAATTGATTAGTGGTGACATACAAGCTGTGTTCCTTCCATCCCATGTAACATCTCTCATCCAACCCTAGACCAAAACGTTATATAAGGAATGAAGAGGAATTATCGGCGGAAGCTTCTTAAGGTACCCTCTATCTATCTATCTAATCAGCCTTAGACGCCCACTCTTGGGCATAGGCCTCCCCTGTTAATCTCCATTGGTCTCTATTTTCTGCGATCTACATCCAGTCCTTTCCTGCCTTTCTCTTAAGATCGTCAGTCCATCTCATCTGTGGTCTTCCTCTTTTTCTTTTCTTTTCCCATGGTCTCCAGTGTAGAATTCGCTTATTCCATCTTTCATCTTTTTGCCGGAGAGTGTGACCGGCGAAGTTCCATTTAAGTTTTGCAACCTGTCTTGATACATCGTTCACCTTTGTTTTTTCTCTGATCCATGAGTTTCTTTTCCTGTCTTTAAGACCGATACCCAGCATCTGTCTTTCCATTGCTCTTTGTGTTTTGGATATCCTGTCGATGTTCTCCTTTGTGAAAGTCCATGTTTGTGAGCCATATGTGATAACTGGTAAAATGCACTGGTTGAATACTTTCGTTCGCATATATTTAGGGAACTTTTTATTTTTTAGAATATATGATAGTTTACCAAATGAGGCCCATGCTAGTCTAGTTTTTCTTTTTATTTCTTCTGTTTGATTGTCCCTGTTCAGCTTTATTATCTGTTCTAGGTATATGTATTCTGCCACCTGCTCTAATTTATTCTGTTTGACTACTATTTCTAATTGGTCTTCTTGGTTTGTCATAGTCTTGGTTTTACTATAGTTCATCTCTAGACCTATCTCTGCCGCTTTTCTATCTAGTTTCTCAACCATCTTCTGTAACTCTTCCTTCTTATCTATTATCAGGACTATATCGTCTGCATATCTCAAGGTACTCTGCATATCTTCAGCCACTGCTAACTATAAACTGGATGAAGGGCTGACTATAATTGAGGCATTGAAGAAGATCACGGTTAAAGATGTTTGCTATTGGATTGCATCTGCCTGGGACGACGTAAAAATGTCCACTACTCAGAAGTTGTGGAAAAAATTATTTAAGATAGACAACAAAACACAAGACGTTCAAAATGAAACTGATGACTGTAAAGTTGATTCTATAGCCCACCTAGCCAATCAATTACCAGTAGAACAAACAATCGTAAACCAAGACATCATCGATTGGAGGAATCTAGATGAAGAAGTGGAACTGACAGATGATACAATTGCCAATCTAGGTCTAAACGTCACCCATGAAGAAGAAGAAGAAGATACAGATGGGATAACTCAAAAGATTTCTCATTTCGAAGGATTTAAGTCCCTTGAAGCAGCTCTCGTATACATTGAGCAACAAGAAGAATCAACACCATTAGACGTCCTTCATTTTCAACGTTGGCGCAACATCGCCGCCCCAAAAAGAGGAATTAAGTTGAAACAAAAATCAATCAAAGACTTTTTTAAAACATTTATAAATTAATTTTTTTTATCTTTTATATTACTTTTGTATCAGGTTTTAGTTATTAAAATAAACACATTAATCATTATTAACAGGTACACATTTTTCTATCAGTATAACCAATCTCAGTGACAGAGTTCTTTCGGTATCCGAGGTAGTCACGGTCCCAATTACCTCAGATAATCGCAAGTCTACTGTACAAAAAGCTTAATTTTGTATCAAATTACACAAGTGTGATTTTATTTTAATACAGTTTCCCAAATTCGACTAACTGTATCTATGCATACTATGCAATTCTAATATTATTATTAATATGAAAGATGATACTACATTCCCAGACGTCATAAATTTTAATTGCCTTACACTTAGACCAGCAATCAGCTGGATGTGCTGATTAGGGATTTTTGTTACTTGACCTTGTATACACAAAACGTTCATTCATTTGGAGGTATTTTATTACTCATATTTCAGGCGACAAGTCTGAATTATTTATCTACCCAAAAATATTTATTTCAAACTGAAAAGAAATTTGCAATTGTTTGAAAAACAGGTAAATAATGATCAAAAAGGGATTATGGTAATTGGATCGACTATTATGTATAAAAACAGTATTTATAAGAAATCTAAAATATATAACATTAATTATTAATAATATATTTATAATAATTATTATAATATATAATAACAATTTTTTCATATCGAATGTCAACAGGGGAAGTGTTTTCCTCAGAAAATTTCAGATTTTCATCTCGTTTCTAATTATGACTCAAGTATATATATTAAAGTAAATATCAATAATCTTATTTTCTTCCGGAAATAATTAATCGACAAAATTTAATCGATCATTACATAATATTGTTTTGTCTATAAAAATTAAATATGTTAAAAATTTAATAAAACGAATTGTTTTTATGTTTATATATTATGTAAAAACCAGTATAATCCCGCAGTAAACTTTACTGACCATAGTTTGACTTTCAACCCGATTATAACGTCAGGTGCCAGGAAAAAATGTATACTGTATATTAAGAATTGTTCCTTATACAATATGAAATGAAACAGAAAGAAAGTCAAACGAAGCCACAATATTAACTACTGGGAGGGGCGGGGGCCGCCTTGCTAACAAAACCACGTGATTCGTTAGTTTTCAATGTTTTGCAGATTTTTCTTAAATTCGGCAAACGCGCATCTATCGCTATTTAATACATCAGTGCTGCCTTCTACTAAATGACACGTGAACTTATTTTCTCATCTGTTAAGTGATAGCTGAACTAATTTCTCACTATCAAAATGCCAACTTATTACGGTAACATCAACAAAATCCCTAGTTTGCAGCTTTTAATTGTAATTTTATCTTTAGGTACAGTTAATTTAAAAATTACGGCAGTATGGATAACAAACATTTGCTTAAAATAAAGGTTTTTGGATAGTTAATCATTTAACGTAGTTATTTTGCACCTAAGTTCAATAATTATTTCACAATACCAATTTTTAGGCACGTTACCACGTAAGTTATGACATGGATGCATTTAAGTACAGTTATGAAAAAAATACTGCTGTTTTTGAAAATGTTAACTAGATATCATTAAAATAGAAAGTTTACAGTTTACGTACATAATCATAACTTGAAGATCTGTTTTGAAATAGTGACGATAACTGTACCTAAAAAGTATATAAATTTTAACATTGTGACATACCACCTTAATCTTGAGTTTTTCGTTTTTTTTTTTCAAAGTTCACCGATGTTTTGTTTATAAACATTAAGAAGTTTAAAAAGCATCATTGAAAGCCCTGGTGAAGTTTAAAAAGGGCTATCTCGAGTGTTAAGGACTGTAAGGGCCAAAATTTCGCTTAAAAAAAATACCTTTCTACAATTTGATGTGTCTGAATTATTTTATAATATGTTTACAAGCTTAAAATCACAATACTTTTGTAAATCTATTTTACAATGTTTAATATAAACTATTTAATCATTAAATGATTTAACTTGATAATATAAGCCTGTCAATTTGCAGAATTTATGTAGACCCAACAGTTTATGCATAATAACATTGTAAATTCAGTTTTCTGGGATAAACAATTTCAATTTTGCAGTAACTGTTAAGTGAAACCGTTTGAAATTTTTGTACCTAAATATTTGTAATATTTTACCCCATTCTTACGCGAAATTAAATTTTTTTGTTCATTTTTGCAATAATTACACAAGTTAACAAAAATAACTGTACAAAACTACTACTTCACTACTATCCCTTATCACATTCTTTGTTTTCACTTCTCAGATTAATTCTTTTTACCTCTTACATTAAAGTATGTCCAACATGCCGTTGGGATCTCATTAATATCATCAATCTTATTAATATTTTTTAATTTTTTTTTAGAATATAAACTCGTTGGATTCATCTCCCACATGGGTCCTTCTACGCAGGTGGGCCACTACGTTGTACATTTATTAAAGAACGGTAACTGGGTCATATTTAACGACAATAAGGTTGCTTTGTCAGAGAATCCGCCAAAAGACTTAGGTTATTTGTACTTATATGAAAGGATCTAATGGAAAATTGCCAACTAATTGCATTATTTAATATTAAACTGTTTTTACTTGTTAAAAATAAAGAAAGATCGCTAATTTATTGTTTTGTTCTTATTTTTATGTGAAAGGGTAACTGAAAACAGAATCGGTTACTAATTTCTAATGTAAATAATTATATTGAACGTTGATATTAATTAGAAATTAAAAAAAAATAATATCATGAATAACAAACCAAATATCCAAACACAATAACATAAATACGACGTACAGGTCTGAGCTCTCCAGTACTCAGCGGACAGAATAGACTGGGTGGGGAGGTTCACATTGTAACGATTATTTTACCCACCACATAGGCTACTACTATAGGGGGTTGAAAATTGGGGACAGAAATTACTGAGGTGGACATAGGGTAAGCAAAACAAACCGGAACGTTTGCGAACGGATACTCTGGGTTTGTTTGGGAGCTGGGTCGTAGATAAGTGAATAAAACAAGGGGACTGGAATGGGGTAACTACAAAAATGAATCAAAACGGGTACTTACATGGATCTTCTGGACAAACACAACTCAAGGAGGTTCCTAAGCTATTTAAAATGGACGCCGCTTACAAGAATATCTCTGCTGGATGGAAAGATAGGCTTTACTTTTCTAAAAAATACAAAAAGGGGTTAGAAACGTTTCAAAATGAATAATACTCTTTTTTTAGTGAGAAAAATTACATATTTATTATTGCCTCACCATAAATAGTTACAAATGTAAATAATAAATACAAAATAACAAAAACAAACTTACAATGTTGCTATCGGTTTACAACTCTAGAAGTTGGAGATACTATAAGAACTTAAATTGTTAATGGGCGACATTTTGTAGCCGAAATAAATTATTAAAAATGAAAAATATCTTTTTAAATGGAACTATGCATAGAGGTTAACCGTTTTAAAAACAAAGCAAAACAATTCTATATGTATGGTTAGGTATGTACCAATTGTCAAGAAAATAATGATAACTGTCATATGCTAAGATGACATTTTAAAACTTTATAAGAATAATTAATATGGCAGTTAGCCACTCCCTAATATTTATGATTTTACTTATTACAATTTCTCAACTTGTCATGAAAGCAATTATTGATGGAAAATGTCTATTTTTACTTCTTCTTCGCGTACCATATCAGAACTATCCGACGTTGGCGATCACCATTGCGAAGGCTTCTCGATCTTCTGCAATATGGAATAATTGTCCTGCATTTGGTATCTGAGTCCATTCACGAATGTTTTTTTAACCAAGAAACTTGTTTTCTTCCTACACCTCTACGGCCCTCTATTTGCCTTTAGGATCTTGTAATATTTTATATGACTTCCCTTACTATATGTCCAGATCAGACATTTTTCGATGTTTAACAGTCTTTAAGCAGTTCTCTGTCTTTGTTGACGCTCCTTAGTACTTCTTCATTAGTTTTTCTTGCTGTTCAAGGTATCTTCAGCATTCGTCTATGAACCCACATTTCCAATGCTTCAATTTTGTTCATGATCGATACTTTTAGCGTCCACACTTCTGCACTATACAACAAGTACAGACCAAACATAACACTTAACCATTCTTTGCCTTAGTTCTAAACTGAGATGGTTATTGCAAAGACTCATTTTCATAGCATTATATTAGTTTTTCGTCGGGATCTAGTTGGTCCGTTATCACAGTTCCCAAATATGTCATTTTGTGAACTTTCTCAACTTGGACATCCGTTCAATTGAAGCCTTGCATCGGGATGTGGGTCGCGACTAAACACTAAAAATTTGGTTTTGTTTGAGTTTAAACAACATGGAAGAAGCATAAACTGTTCGCAAAGTGCAAAAAACCTGATCGATGAGAAAAGAAAACTTAGGAAAAAGTGGCAAAACACACACGCTCCTATTGACAAACAAAATTTAAACAGAATTACCAGAAGACTTAAAAATCTATTAAAAGAAGAGAAAAACAGGGGGATCCAAACTTACTTAGAAAATTTGACTCCGTCTGTTACGTTTGGAATGTCCTACGATTAATTATCGCAAGAGACTCCTGGTTCGAAAAAATACAAAATTAAATTTCTATTACAAAATTACTTTCGTATTAAAATACACAAATGTGTCTTTAAAAGTTTTATTCAGTTTCCTTCGGTCGGTGGTATAAATTCGACTAAATCTAACTCTAAACAAATTGAATATACTCGTATACTATATGATATTCGATACTCCTACATTCTCAGACGAAAGTCATTAAAATTAAGTGCATTCACCAGCCCTTAGCCGGAGATTCGATACGCTGATTTACAAGGGGATTTTTAAAATAAACATATTACTTAAGTACCTATTAACTCGACATTCTCCCACCTTGAGAAATTTAACATAATTTCTCAAAAAATACAGAGAGTTACGAAAAATAAAGTCAAGAAAATATCACTTAAATCTTAAGGATTTTTTCACCACCCGGCCACAACGCGCATATCTTCCATTTAAGTCGGGTACTCTGCTTTTTATCACTCCCGCACTCTTTACACTTGGTTCTTCCTCAAACTGGAGTCGAGAAACGTTCCCTTGAGGTAACCTCTCTGGAACCGCCTCCATTCTTTTAAAGTCCAATATTTTTTGCGGGACAAACTAAGTAGTCCTTGTGTGCCTACATGACAATAGCTTTTATGTAGGCTTAAAATTAACTTACGCACTATAAAATGTTCACCCGGAAGTAAGATAGGCGAAAATCTTTCGTGTCAAGTCTCTCAGTAACGCGAGTTTTTATACGTATAAGTCCAAATTCATCGACAAACGTGTTTAGCGAGGAAATTCGTTTCGTATCTGAACCGAACGCTTCGTTCTGCACTAGCTTCAATACAAATATTTCGGCTTTATCGATTTCCTCAGCGACCAATTCACCTGTACGTTTTTCGTGTGAATTTCTTGCATTATAACAAAATCGTAGCACCCAAGCTATCATTCTTAAAAGTTTTATGTACTGAGAAAAGTAATGCAGATGCCAATCGTCAAACGTCATATTCAATAGTGACGAACTGGCATTTTTCTTTTTCTCGGTACAGACTTTTTCTTCATCAACTTCTAATTTTTGTTGGGGCCAATCATTTTCTTTTCTGTACAACCATTCCGGGCCCTCCCACCATCGAGAGTCGAACAATTGCCGAACACCACAGCCTCTTGATGGAAGATCGGCAGGATTGAGAGAACCAGGTACATATTTCCAACACTCAGGATTGACTAAATTTCTAATCTCTTGAACTCTATTAAAAACAAAAACAGACCAGTCATCCTTACGTTGAATCCAAGAAAGAACAGTAGTGGAATCACTCCAAAAATAAGACTCAACATATTGAGAAAATTGTCTTTTTACTGACTGATAAAGTCTAACACCAATAGTGGCTGCCAACAGTTCCAATCTAGGTATAGAAATCTTCTTCAAAGGGGCCACACGACTCTTAGCTGCTACAAGGAAAATTGAGACAACATCATTCCGAACCACTCTCAAAAATATTACAGCCGCATAAGCTTTCTTACTTGCATCTGAAAATATGTGCAAGCTCCAATGATCAGCTTCCGTCGGTCCAGCCTGAATCCAGCGTGGAATCTCAATACTCGACAGTTCAGGAAGATGAGTAACCCAATCACAAAATTCTTCAGCCATATCATTCTCGACTGGAGCATCCCATCCCTGGCGCTTCTCCCAAAGTTTCTGTAGCAACAGTTTGGGAAATAGGGATACGGGACAGGTAAAACCAATAGGGTCAAATATACTCTGAGCTATGGAAAGCATCAGTCTCTTAGTTATGGGACGTTTCAATGCCATTTCTTGAAAAGTTTCACTATTGATTTTCAGAGTGTCTCTTGAAGAGTCCCAGAGAAGACCAAGAACCGGGACAACTGTTTTTGTATTACCAGAGGCCTCCCACCCTCTTAAGTCCATCTTAGCTTCCTCCATAAGGGCGGTTGCTTCTGATACAAACACTCTCAACTCATTTTCATCAGTAACACTGGTCACACAATTATCCACATAAAACCCAGTCATAAGCTTTTTAATTGTGTTTTTAGAATACGGATTATCATTACAACATTTCTCCAGGGCCTTTGTTAAATGAAACTCTATAGTGGCACCCAGAAGAAATGGACTACAATTGACTCCAAAAACAACCCTCTTGTGTCGAAATACAAATTCCTTTCCTTCATCGTTCACCCATAGGAACCTCAAAAATCTCTGTCCTTTGAATGTATAGAAATTTGAAGAAAAGCCTTTCGAATATCCGACACAACTCCTACCCTTTGTTGTCTGAATCGTAATAGAACAGAAGGAATAAGTTCAATAAGATTAGGCCCTACCTCCAAACACTGATTTAAAGAAGGACAACCCTGTTCATGAGATGATGCGTCAAAGACTGGCCTAATTTTTGTGGTTTCACTATTATTTTTAATAACGGGCCTGTGAGGTAAATAATGCACGCAATTATTCTCTTCTGGATTATTCACTATTTCAATCACACCCTCGTTCAACCACTCATTGAATATAAAGTTATACGATTCAAACAAATTAGACCTTTTCAACTTATTTAAAGTATTATCTAACCTTCTCCTAGCGACAACTAAATTATCTGAAATTAAAGGATGCTCGTTCAACCAAGGTAACATAACTTCATACCTGCCTTCGCTGTCACATCGTACAGTCTCATAGAAAAAATTCTTAGCCTCTTTGGCTGCCACCTCTCGTGTCATTTTTTCTACAGGGTCGGTTATCCCAATAACATCAAGCTCCCAGAGTTTCGCTACAGAAGAATTATTAACAAACAACGAAAATGTAATCATACTTGTACTAGAATTAGAAGCAACTGCCGGCACCTTGCCCATAAGAGTCCAACCTAACAAAGTTTCAACTGCTACAAGACCACACTGTAACTGATATTTTCTCCCTGTATACAATTTGCCTACAATATCAGCTCCAAACAAAATCTCAATCGGTGCTGTCTTTCCGACATCGCTGAGTGAAATATTCATGTCACTGAGTTCCTCAATCCAAGGGCCGTCATAAATAGAAGAGACATCTGCACAAATTTTTGGTTGATCTAAGGC